ACCCATCGGATTCATCGAGAGCGGCTCCGATATCGACGGCTTGATCAAAGGCTTCCACGATGGTCTACTTCCTTTTGGTCTAATGGCTCGGCTCTGGCCGTTTACACAATGGGCGAAAGGCACATGGTTCGGCGAGAAATATCTTGTGGCGAAGCCCGAGGACGACTCTGGTATTGGCACGCTGATGCGCTTCCGTGATAAGCTCATTGCCAAGCGAATCCAAGATATCGAAGCTGGTAAAGTCGACAGAGTCGATCTGCTACAGACTTTCCTGGATGCAAGAACAGAGGACGGTGCACCGCTGGATTTGGACTACATCAAAGCTGAAATTCTTCTCGTACTACTGGCTGGCGCTGATACGACAGGAACTGCATTCCAGGCGATGGTTGCGTACATTACCTCTGATGCTCAAGTATATGCGAAGTTGATGGAAGAGTTAGATCGCGTCACTCGCGAGGGCAAATTGAGTTACATGCCGCAGTATGACGAAGTGTTAGAGCATTGTCCATACTACGTTGCCTGCGTCAAAGAAAGTATGCGGTAGGTCATACTCATCTTCTTCATTGTCATTCTCATATACTGACGAATACAGTCTCTGTCCCTCCGCTCCGAACATCTTCCCTCGCGTTGTGGGTTCGTCAGGGATGCACCTGCATGGCCGCTACGCGCCGCCTGGTACCGAAATAACCTGCAACCCCTGGCTCGTGCACCGCGATGAGAGGATCTATGGTGCAGATGCCTGTGATTTCCGACCTGGAAGGTGGCTCGAAAGCGAAGAAAAAGCAAAGGAGTACAACAAGTATAACATGGGCTTTGGCTATGGCGCGAGAGTCTGCCTTGGAAAAGACATCGCGCTCATGGAGCTGTACAAGGCCCCGTTGCAGTTCTTCAGGACGTTCAAGATTGAGATCGACGAAAGCCGCAAAGGCAATTTTGTAGTTAAAGGTGGTGTAGGATTCTGGGAGGACATGTGGATCGGTATCAAGCGGCGGAAGACGGCGTCGTGATACAATAGATCGAGATGGCCGTTAAGTGTATGCTAGTCAGTACTCAGCGCTGGAGTCCTCAAATCTAAATGATGAATGGTGCAATGGTGCGTGTTGACGCAATGACGAGCTGGTGATCTAGACCATCCCGTCCCGACCTCGTCACGTGTTGGCGCGGCGATCTACCGCTAGCGGAAGCTTGGCGAAACAACTCGAAACGACCGCAATTACGCTACCCATTCTACGGTCCGCGCCTCAGCAACCCAACCACTCGCAGCTCTCACCTTGCCTTTGTACAGGCGCGGCGGCCCCCGCACTGGGGTGCACTGCAAATGTTTCCGAGATGATCCTCGATTGGCGCCGTCTTCTTGGTCCAGGCCTCAGGCCCCAGCGGAAATGGCTTGTTTCATTGCCCGCCTGGTTATATAGGGGAGCAACTCCAACATGTCGACGACCTGCTACCGCTTTCACGATCATTCGCATCGATTACATTCTTTTTACCGTCTCTCACAGACACACTGACCTGGTTCGCTGGTCGTTCGCTCTTTATTTCGTTCCTCGCTTTGTTTGATCATCTGCTAGCATCATGATGCACTCTGCTTTCTTTTTTTCCCTGCTTGCCGGCACGACCTTTGCTCAGTACGGCGATAACAGCTACAACGCCCCTGCTGGAGGCTCGAAGCCTGCTCCCTCCGTTACAGCACCTGCTGGGTATGGCACGCCCGTCCCGAACCCGATTGCGTCCCTGGTGCCCATAGTACCCATCGTCTCTGTTATTACATCCGCCCTTGGAGCTATACCCTCAGGATTCATTCCCGACAATGATTTGCCGAACCCTTTCAAGTCCATCTACATCCCGGCGTCTCAACTGTTCAACCCTGCTATCGCACCTGCGTTCACCGAGACTGCCGCGGTCCCTCTCCTGTCCCTCTTGCCGGTCTACTCTACCGCACCCAGCTCGTCCGTTGTCGAGCCTACCGGCTCTGCTGAATACCCGGTAGCTCCTCCTACCGTCAAGCCATCCAAGCCTGCAACCTCCACGACTTGCACCGAGAGCAAGGCCCAGAGCACCCGCGTACCCCTAGACGCTACTCGTTCATCGGCTGCCCCTCAGAAGCCTACCGGCACAAGCTCGGCAGCTACCTCTACCGTTGCGACATCCAAGCCTGCAACCTCCACATCTTGCACCAAAAGCAAGGCTCAGAGCACGCGCGTGCCCCTCGACGCTACCGCTTCATCGCCTTCTCCTCAGCGTCCTACCGGTACAGGCTCAGCAGCAGCCTACCCCACCGGAACCGGCATGCGTCCCTCTGGCAACACACGCCCCTCTGGCACTCCTCGCCCAGACTACTTCCACAACGGCAGCCGTCCCCAAGACGGCTTCGGCTGGGGTCGCCCTAGGCCTTCTGGCAAGTGGCCTCACGCCTACCCCAAGCCTACCCATGCAGCTCATCGCCCCACCAAGCCTTCTGCTGCCCAGGGCTACGGAGGTGTCAAGCCCAGCAGCACGCCTTGCACTTTGGAAACCAGGGTCAGGCCCAAGGCTACCCCCGCCCCTGCTCACTACTAGAGAGCAAATACAACTTGAAGGTATCGCTTCCTGGATTATAATTATGTAAACGTAGTTCATGTATATACCTTATTATCCACAGACCTCCGAGTGGGGTAATACAGCACATGCAGTTGATAGGCGATGCGCCTGTTGCGGTTGTCATTGCCAAGTTTCTTGTCTCGCGTGCGTTCGACTTGATTCATCATCTTTCACCGCTGTCACCTGAAGGCTAGCCAGTTTCCTTAGCATACAACTTCACCGTCTTACATGTCTCCAGTATCGTATCTATGCCAGCGCGATAAGCTTTCCTAACGTCTATCTACGATTGCCTAATCAGTTCGGACTCATCGCGATGAGTGTGGACCTTCCGTCCCTACGAGTTTGTACCACAACACCGGACTAGCGGGCTTGGCGGGCAAATGCGCTCTCTCACTTTCCCACACACTCGCAAATTTACTCATCTGCTTTCGCTATTGACTGCTGATTCGAATCTTCTCTTACAGCTTGAACAATCTCTCATATCACTTCGCGCACCCGCGGCGATGGCGGAACACACAAAACTCATCACGATCGATCCCAACGGCGACACCCTCCTCAAGCTCAAGGATATCCGCTGGGAGCTACCAGAATGGATTGACGAAGCCACTCATTTCGCACCGCCCGCCGAGATCACCGAGTCATCACACGAAGACACTGCGGCGGAAGGTGCCGAGGAGAGCGACCAGCGCAAGCACCCCGAGGAAGTACACTTCTTAGTGTCATCACGTCAGCTGCGCCTTGTGTCTACCTACTTCGATAACATCTTCAAGAAGAACTTCGCCGAGAGCGTTGCCGACCCCGCGGATGGAAGATACCATATCTGGGCTACTGAGTGGAACCCTACGGCGCTGGAGCAACTTCTGATTGTCGCGCATGCTCGAAATACAGGCGTAAATGAAAATGTCAGTTTCGACGTAGTGGTTGACATGGCTTTGATAGTTGATTACTACGACATGCACGAGACGCCATACACTCACGCCAAGAGACTCTTTACTCGATGGTGGGGCAACGGCACGTATCGTTCACTCATGCCCGAGAGTGTTCTTCATGGCAAGGTGATTAGGTGGATGTTCTTGTCGAAAGTGTACAAAGATAATCATATCTCTCGGAGAACGATCGAAATAGCAAAGAAACACAGCAAGGGGCCTCTGCAAGATCTGGGATTGCCACTGGGCAACATTCCAGGTGAGATTGCACACCACCCTATCACCCCATTCAAGGGAAAAACCGAACACCCAAGAGCCTACATCAAGATAAAAGCTTGCGAAGTCGGTGGCCTAACAGCAACGTAGGCTCCTAGGTGTTCAGTTTTTCCCTTGTATGAGGTGCTATCGTATACGACCTGGCTAATGTATACTAGAAAAGTTAGAAAAGCACCGACAGCAGGCTATCAAAGCGATCGTCGACCAGCTGGATAGTCTCATCGAACGTCTTCGCAGAGGTGAAGAATGCTGCAGCTTCACATGCCGGTCTTCCGTTCTTGGCTCCTTGATACTGCTCAAGCAATCTGGTGGACTCTCCACAGTCGGAGGGGGCACTATCTCACCGCCTTACTATGGCACGAGTCTCCAGGAAGCCTGTGCCGCCATGGGGGCTATGGTGACCCGGAAACAATCTTCTGTTATGGGAGGCAGGATAATTCTAGATCAGGGATATATGCCCGTAGGAGCATGCAAGGAATGCGACTTCAGCGGTTTGTTCGATCGGATTATGAAGAAGGTCGACGACGATCTGAAGTTCCAACTTGATCTCAGTCCGTCAAGACCCGTCAAATCCTCGGACTGAGGGTTCAGAGAAGATGTCCGTGATGTCAATGGCGAGACAGGGTAGCGATGGATGACCATGTATCAGTGAGCGAAGGAAGGGTAGCTGAGGAAAGAAAGGTGCAAAACTGCCAGAGGCTTTCGACACCGTATGACATACGAATAGAAAAATGGTATCACACTGAGTAATGTGTGTCTCATAATCAAGTGCCGACCTGTCATCGCGGAATATTTATACTGACGCCGTCTACTATGACTCTTCTTCAGGCGCCCTAGAGACGACGGGCCAACCACACCTCCCCCATTTTATACGACTCAAACGCGAGGAGATACTCTACGAAGGAGAGAAGTATCGCATCTCCAAGATTCCCTTGTGACTCTTCTTGAATTCAGGTACATGTCGGTTGCCATCCAATCCATTAAGTAGTACTGCGGTGACGTAAAGCGAAAACAAGCCACCTACAACTATGCGTTTCTCACTGCCCTCTTGTTTATCTCACGTGAGCTCGACTGCTTTACTAATCCTTCACCTTCGTTCTTAGCAGCGCAATCCAACTAGAGGACTTGCCAAGCAAACACGATTTTTCCAATCAGTACCTTATCCCGCATTTACTCTCATTTACCCAAGACTCAACCAATTCCGCGCACGCCTCCGCCACGATGGCCTCAGAAGCGAAGCTAGTGACGATCGATCCCAACGGCGACACCCTGATCATCTTGGAAAATCCGAAGACCTGGCTACTGGATCCGACACTAGGACAACAACTGGAAGTGAAAGACGATGCCGATTCTGATGTCGATTCCAACAGCGACTCGTCTATCGCGCACTCCGCAACTGAAGATGCATCTCACGATAGCGCCGCGAACGAAAGCTCATCCCAGCCAGCAGTCAAATTCCTCGTATCATCACGCCAGTTGCGCATCGTGTCGTCCTACTTTGACAGCATATTCAAAGGTGGCTACAACGAGACGTTACCGAACCCCGACGACGGCCTGTATTACATCAAAGCAGAAGACTGGGATGCGGAGGCTATGGAGGTCATCATGGACATTGTCCACGTTCAGGTCAAGCGGATACCCGAATACGTCTCGTTGGAGCTCTTTGTCAAGATTCTTGTTCTTGTCGATTACTACCACATGCAAGACGCGATTGCTTCTCATGCAAAGCTGTGGATGGAGCAGATTGTAAGGTCCGATAGGCCTACAGTCTATAGTGCGACAGCGGTTTATTGGCTTTTCTTGGCTATTCGAATGGAGGATCATGAGCTGTCTAGGTCGATGGCGTGGTTCATTGTCACGACTGCAGCTCGCCCGATTACGTTCCAGGGTCTTCCCTTTCCGCCAGAACTCGAGGGTAGGAAGGTTCCAATCTACACACATAATTATGCTAACCCAACCGATAGACGAATTAAACAAGGTGCGGCGGGACGCGTCACGGGCCTTGCGTGTCCGACTTAGAACTCTCCAGACAGACCTACTTGATGGCAGAGAAGGCTGTCACCCAGCGTGTGAAGCTATGCTACTGGGATCGCTTCTAAAAGGGCTACAACGACTCAACCTAAATCGATACGTCAAATCATTCGATGGTATCGCGCTGGACGTAGTGCTCGAGCATGTATGGGATCAGCTAAGGGCTATCCAGACTCCAGATTGGTGCGGGACGGCAGCACCCGGGGAACCACATCTTTGTGATGTGGGACTGCGTCTTGGAAATATCGTCACACACTCTGTTGAGGTAGTAAACGATGGGCTGCAAGCCCTCTCACTCTGAAACAGATCCCAGTATGAGGCGTTTGGCGGGCGAGGTGCTGTAATTCCTTGCGATATGCAAAGGGTGTGGAGATAATTGGCGCAGAGCGGTGGGTTTTGGAGAGCATGCTTGATGTTAATACACATGGTTACATAAGGCTACCAGCGAGGTTGAGAAGGTGCTAGTACAAAGGGCCTAGTCAAAAGAAAACCGCGGTGAGCTTGCAAAATTAGAACGAATTAAAAAGAGTGGCGCGGAAAAGGTCGAGTATTGCGGGCTGCGCGGACGATGATTCATTCACTACCAAATACGTGAACGTTCTTCGACAAGAGAAGAAGGATGCGCGCAACACCTCATCCCGGTCTACGACCCCAACTCTCCAATCTCTACTTCTTCGTACCCGAAACAACGAAAACCCAACGTCTTCATCCCAATCTACCGGCCGTCACAATTGTCTACTCAAATGCCCCCCTAACACAAATGAGAGAGATCGCCATCCTCAGAGTCTGATCCCCTAAAAGGTGGTGCCATGATCCACGCCGATGCGTGTGGATGATCTTGATACCATTTCTCTACCTTTTCTGGATTCTTCCACTGATAGAACCCAGGAGGAACCCGGACGGACGGAAGTGATATTGTATAGGTTGGAGGAACCGGGGTGGACGCAGCTGTTAGTGTAATGTCAGTACTCTGGGAAGATCAACGCAGTTTCTCCGATGCTGTTTCAGTTCGTGCTCCCGGCTAGGAGCAGAGCTTCTAACTCACTACCATCTGGCGCAAGTTTGAAGGGACCGACAGGGACTACTCCGTTGAAAGTGTTGTTGTGAGTACCGTTCTGAGTACCGTTCTGGGTACCGTTCTGAGTGCCGTGCTCAGTGCCGTTCGACTTCCCAGCTTCGAGCTTAGTTTCCGCGATCCAGGCTTCAACGTCGTTGAGAGCTTTGAGTGGGTCGCCGCGGCAGCCTTGGAGGTAGTTTTGCACTTGCGCTGGGGAAACTATATTCCTATTAGTACGAAATTTGGAACTGAAATGCCATGACCATTTACATGTATTTGTGGGCATCTTCTCAGCGAACTCAGATGCCCACTCCTCGATTTGTGCCATGGTGAACTCCGCATCATGTGCGAGAGCTGATCGACCAATCAAGCGCTTGAAGATGCTCTTGCCCGCACTAGGGTCCATATTGCCGAAGTAGACCTTCTTGTCGATACGACCGGGACGCGTCAAAGCCGCATCAAGCGTATCAGGAGCGTTAGAGGTCATGATCAAGAGTCTTCCTTCTTGAGAGGCGTTTCCGTCGATGGCGTTCAGCAGGCCGCTTAGTGTGACTGTGTTCGATCTACGACCCACACCCGGGTAATCACGAGCCCGAAGTTTTGGCAGCGGACCGATGCCACCTGGAATGCCAGCGACGTCACCTAGGTTTTCATCTGCTTGCGCATGTGCTCCTGTTGGGGCAGCCGGCGGTGTTCGTTCGCGACCGATACCAGCAGAGTCGATGTCTTCCAAAACCACTACGCACTTGCGTGGAAGGCCTAGAAACAAGCGGTGAAGTGTTCCATCATTGATGCTACCGGTGGAAAGGTTGATGTGGTAGATGTCGCAGCCAAGATGGCCCGCCAATGCAGCGCTGAATGAGCTCTTGCCGGTACCCGGGGGGCCATGGAAGAGATATCCGCGCCGATATGGGATACCACAGTCGGCAAAGAATGACCGCGACTCCTCGCTGTAGTAGTATTCTGCGTCTCTGACAATATCAAATTTGGTAGTCTCGTCCATGTCTATAGTGTCGAGCTTTCGAATGGCTTTGGAAACCGACTGCCAACCATTACCGTATGGATCCGTACGATCGCCCGCGAAGTACACAGTCGTAGTACCCGTGAGGTTGTTCAGTCGGAACTCGCGACAGAGACTGGTGAACTGCTTCAGTGGTTTGAGGCTCCATCCGAGCGTCATGATAGTGAGGGAGTTTTGAAGCTGGCCACTATCGTCAAGCAGATTACCGGTCATACCACTGTTGGTCCGATAGCCAGGGCCTCCTCGACGTGAAAATAGATACGGTCGAAATCCGACCCAAAATAGTCGTGTACCGATTGGCGGGAGACAAAGAACCTCATCGTCCGGTTTCTCGGATGCAAGTCTCGGGTTATGCGCCGCCATCATGCGGCGATGAAACTCGTCATTGGGATCCTGTGTGCCTCCTGTGACCAGCATGGCACTCCTCGTGTGGCTGTTGAGTATCACCTCCGAGCCCATCCATGCCAGAACCTCTCTAGCGACTGGATCAGTCTCTGGGATGGTGACTTGAACAGTCAAGGCCCATGTAAAGAAATCCTTCAGATGCTTGTATGCGGGACGAACAGCTTGGTAGAGACCGATGAGTGCGAGGAGCTTTTCAAGATCACCGATGCCGCTTGGCCGGAGTCGATATAGTAGACGCTGGATAACCTCTAAGATGGGGAACTGACCTGTCGCAGAGCGTTTGAGGTGATGTGGGATGAGTCCGGGTGTGTCCAGGCGCTCGGGCCATAGCTGGTCACTCATTCCTGGTGGAACCATGAGCTCGTATCGTGGGTCAGACATTGCGGCGGGCGGTTGAGGGTGATATTCCCAAGCTCGGTTGCGTGGGCGAACTATAACCGCGGTTTCTAGACGCGTGGAGATGTATTGAAAAGATGAAGGAAGTGATAGTCTCCAAGTTTTGGAGATTGCTGTGTATGCGCTACGCGCCGTGGGTAGGCATTGTTAGACAACCGTGGGTGAGTTGAAATTATGATGGAGTGTCGAGAAAGAGTGAAAGCAATGCGATGATGCGCGGAAGAGGCACGTCGAACAAATAGTGGCGCGGTCATGGAAGCGACTGCCTGGACGTTGGAGGTCGAGGCTGAACGGGCTGAACGGCAAGTTTGCGCGAGACCGCATGAGGCAAGAGAGGCTGTGGCATGAGCGCGTTGAGGCTAAGCCTAATCGGGCCAGGTGGGCTGTTTACAGCTGTACGTCATAGCAAATTATACTAACAGAACTTCTACGCTTTTTGCACGAACGTCCTACACCTTTTCTGTGAACGATTCAGTTGCCAGAATCACTCAGGATATCTCGAATCGAAAAAAGTTCCACATCCCAGTACCATCCAAAACAAACAGCTTCGATTCACCATGCCTCCCAAAGCAAACACTTCCGACCTTCACGTCGCGAAGCTCTTCTCAGTCAAGGACTATGTATGCGTAGTGACTGGAGGCGGCTCTGGTATTGGCCTCATGGCTGCCCAGGCCCTTGCTGCGAACGGCGCAAAAGTACGTTCCTCCTTCTCGCGAATGAATAATCCTAACATCAGATAGGTCTACATTACTGGTCGTCGACAAGAAGGCAAGCACAGCTACAGCCCCTCGAATTAGACAGATGGAGAGACTGACCATATTAGCCCTCGAGACCGCAGCGAAGTCACACAGCCCCGACCAAGGTGGTCAAATCATCCCTCTCTCGCCATGTGACGTAACCAAGAAAGACGACTTGGAGAAAATGTATCAGGAGCTAGCATCGAAAGAGAAGTACATCAACCTTCTCATCGCCGCCGCCGGTATCTCAGGCGAGAAGGGTATTCCCGATGCAGACAACGCGACCGACATGAAGAAGAAGCTCTTCGACAACGAGACATTCGAGGGCTGGGCCGAGACTTACAACACCGATGTTACCGCCGTTTACTTCACCACCGTCGTTCTCCTGCCGCTTCTCCAAGCTGGGACTGAGAGCCATGGCCACCTTTCCGCCTCTGTTATTGTCATCTCGTCCATGTCGGGAATCATGAAGGACGCGCAAGGGCACTTCAGCTACAATGCTGCCAAGGTGAGATACCCGTGTTGATGTGTGGGGGATCTCTACTGACTGTATATCCTAGGGCGGCACCGTCCATCTGAGCAAACTCATGTCGGCCGAGTTCCAGCAGCTTCGCATCCGCGTGAACAGCATTGCCCCTGGCTACTTCCCGTCGGAGATGACAGCAAAGGAGAGCGACGAGAACCAGAAGAGTGATCTGCCGGATGAGAAGATCCAGGAGAAGGGCCACGTCCCACACGGTCGGGCGGGAAGCGACGCGGAGATGGCACAGGCCGTCATCTTCCTCACCAAGAACTCCTATGTCAACGGCCAGATTCTGACGGTGGATGGCGGTGTGCTCAACGTTGTGAGCTCTTAAGTTTTGTGGCGAAGATGTGAGGGAAATGATGAAGTAGTCTGATGAGAAATCATATCAACTGTTAGGCGTCTCAACTTGACTCGTGCATCGGCACTTCCTCTTTGGTCGGGTTTCCACAAGGCTGACCGAAGCCGTTTCCCCACATTCCCCGCGACAGCGATAAACCATGCTGATGATGTCTGATTGCGATAGTGAGCGATAGCGAGAGCTGATGTGACGCAAGCATTTGATGATGATGGGACGCGTCGTAGGTGACGGAAATGTTATGTGTGGCTTATGCAAGGGGCTAGCGCACGTGGAGGTGATGTCTTTGATGACAATGTGTCTTTGTGACGAAATTCTGCTAAGAAGAACAAAACGTACGGCGCGTCGCGTCGCATTGCTGGCACCTACATGCATACGTGCATACACAATTTTCGGAACCGGAGGCAGCCATGGGGTGCAGCGCGGTGAGTGGATGGTACGAGGCAGGGCGCATGAAGCGAGGATGCGAGGTTGCAACGGCGCGGCCGCTACTGCGCGCAGGTCGAGTAGCAACAAGACATTCACCGCAGCTCGAGTCGCCGCCGTCTAGCGACTCCCCGTCTGCCTCAAT